CACCCGAGCAAATCGCCGTCCGGCATCCGCGGCTCGGCCGCGTCCATCGCCTCGAGCGTCTTCTCGTAGAGCGACCTGACGTCGCTGCTCAGCTTCGACGGATCGAAGCTCTCCCGGTGCTCCGGGTTGAAGATGTTGCGGATGCCCACGTTCCGGTCCATCAGCTCGCGGGCCAGCGCGAACGCCTCGACCATCGTCGACACGTCCCCCGGCTTGCCCTCGGCCTGCTTCCGCAGCTCGGCCGTGCGCCCGCGGAGCTGCTCGTCGGTGAGGGGGGAGAACTCGGCCTCCAGCGCGCCGATCGCCTCGACGCGCGAGGTGTACCGCTTCACGAAACGCTCGTTCCGCGAGCCGAAGAGCTTGTTGATGATGGGGCCGACGAGGGGGATATCGCCTTGCATGGGTGGGTCTTTCCGCGTGGAAGCAATCGCGCCCGTCACGAAACCGAGGGCGCAGAGGGTGATCTGTCTGGATGGGTTCTGAAACGGCGGTGGGGGGGAGGGCCGGCGCACGCATCGCGCGCCAAGACAAGCCGAGCGAAACGTCGCTCAGCCGCGCACCGCCGCCGGGGGCGGCAGGTCGCACCGCTCGCGGACGAACAGCAGCTCGCCGGCGATCGCGAAGTCGCGACCCGCCAGCACCGAACCGCCCGACGCCGCGCCCGCGACGCCAAGCCCCGGCTCGCCCGGGCTTCGCGTCGATTCACGCGCCGTCATCGCGCGGAACGTGCTCTGGATCTCGTGCGCCGTCTGCCCGAGCGTCGCGGCACACAGCGTGATCGTCCGCGGAGCCCCCAGGGGCCCCGAGACCGACGCGATCACCATCAGCGCCACCACGAGCGACGCCCCCGTCACCAGCGCGCGACGCAGCCCGGGATCGCTCCCGTCGCCACTCCGACGCGTTGTGCTGGGTTCGCTGCTCATCCGTGGACCATCAAGTATCGACGCATGCCGGCATTCCGGCAAGCCGAGGCTTCGTTTCCGGGCCCCTTTCGGGCATACTGTAGGCGGACAAGGCCCCCCGCCCCCCAGCCTTGCCCGGTTTGGAGCCCAGCCCATGATCCGAGCTTCCGATATCCCCGCCGAGCACCACGATTCCGTCGATTCCACCAACGCCCAGGCCCGCCGGGCCATCGAATCCGGCCAGATCGCCGATTCGCCCCTCTTCATCACCGCAACCGCACAATCCGCCGGCAAGGGACGCGCCGGGAAAGCCTGGCAGAGCCCCGTCGGCGGACTCTGGGCCACCCTCGCCTGGCCCGTCCTCGCCAACGTGAACGCCGTCCTCGACGGGCTCGGACTCCGCATCGGCGTCGCCGTCGTCCACACCATCGAGCACACCCTCGACGTCCACGGCATCACACGCCACGTCGCGCTGAAATGGCCCAACGACGTCCTCATCGACGGGCGCAAAGTCGCCGGCATCCTCACCGAATCCATCACCCACGACGGCACGCGCTACCTCATCGTCGGCGTCGGCATCAACGCCAACAACGCCGTCCCGAGCCTCGCGGACTCCCCCCTCACCGCCACCACCCTCCGCGAGATCATCGGCCACGACGTCGTCATGAAAAAACTCCAGACCCAGCTCGTCGAACGCCTCGCCCAGGCCTGCACCGGCGCCGGCGTCGATCAGCGCACCCTCGTCGACGCGAGGCGATACCTCTTCGGCCTGGGCACGACCGTCGCCGCGAACGAGGGCGACGGACGCATCATCGAGGGCAAGCTGACCGGCCTGACGGACACCGGCCAGCTCATCATCGAGACCAAACAGGGCCCCGCTACCGCCTCCCGCGGCGCCGACATCACCTGGACGGACCTCAAGCCCGTCTCCGGCGTCTGAAATCAAGCGCACGCTCGACGCAATAACCCGTCAGCACACGCGTTCGGCAAGCTGAACGCCTCGCCCACGCACCGGAGGACCCACGATGAGCGCACGAAACGGCCCCACCGAGTCGATGCGCCCCATCGACCGCGACCGATTCGACCGCTTCGCCGCGAGGCACCTCCTGAGCCGAGCCGGCTTCGGCGGCACGCGCGACCAGCTCCGCACCCTCCTGGAATGGGGCCCCGAACAATCCGTCGACCACCTGCTCGACCTCGACCGCGCCCGCGAACGGTTCGACACGCCCCGATTCGACGACGGCCTCATCGAGGGCTTCTCCCGCGCCGAACGCCAGGCCTACCGGCGCGCCCAGCAGCAGGGCGACGAGGACGCCATCGCCCGCTTCCGCATGAAGCGACAGTCCATGCAGCGCGCCGACCGACAGCAGGTCGCCAGGATGCAGGAGTGGTGGCTCCGCCACATGGTCGAGACGCCCTACCCCCTCCTCGAAAAGCTCACCCTCTTCTGGCACGGCCACTTCGCCACGAGCTACCGCACCATCGAGAACTCCTGGCACATGTTCAAGCAGAACATGTTCTTCCGCGAGCACGCCGCGTCCTCCTTCGAAGATCTCCTCCAGGGCATCATCAAGGACCCCGCGATGCTGCGCTACCTGGACAACCACACCAACGTCAAACGCTCCCCCAACGAGAACCTCGCACGCGAGATCATGGAACTCTTCGCGCTCGGCGAGGGGTATTCCGAGAACGACATCAAGGAGGGCGCCCGCGCCCTCACCGGCTACACCTTCGAGGGCAACGATTTCGCCTACATCGACGAACGCCACGACCACGACAACAAGCGCATCTTCGGGCGCACCGGCGATTTCGACGGGGAAGACTTCGTCCGCCTCATCCTGAGCCGCAAGAACTGCCCGCGATTCATCGTCGAGAAGCTCTACACCTTCTTCGTCGCCGATATCCCGAACATCCGCGAGCCCGGCGGCCCGCAGGTCCAGGCCGTCCTCCGCCGCATGGCCAGCACCATGACGCGCAGCAAATACAAGCTCAAACCCGTCCTCCGCGAGCTTTTTCTCTCAGAACACTTCTACGACGAAGCCAACCGAGGCCGCCTCATCAAGGGCCCGATCGAGCTCATCGTCAGCACCGTCCGCACGCTCGACACCCCCCTCCGCAGCGAGCGCGTCCTCCTCCAGTCCGCGTCGCGCATGGGCCAGACCCTCTTCGCGCCACCGTCGGTCAAAGGCTGGGAGGGCGGGCGCACCTGGATCAACACCTCCACACTCTTCGAACGCCAGAACGTCGCGAACTACCTCATCACCGGAACGTTCCCGGGCGGCAGAGGAGGCAGGCGCGCCGAGCCCACCGATCCCACGTCGATCATGTCCGACCTGCGCATCCTCGGGACGGACGCCGTCACCGACCCCGCCCGCGTCGCGCCCTACCTGAGCGAGGCCGTGCTCGGGGAGTTCGCCACCGACAAGCACGCGCGTGCGCTCAGCGAGTACTTCGCCGCCGAGCGGAACCGCGTGAACCCCCAGACCCTGAGCGGCGCCCTCGCCCTCCTCGCCGCCGCCCCCGAGTACCAGCTCGCGTAACCCCCCGGGAAGGAAGATTCCATGGACCTCCACGATTCCAGAGCCTTCTCCCGACGCCTCTTCCTCGAACGGGGCGTCACCCTCGCGAGCGCCACCCTCACCGTCCCCGCCTTCATGCAGCGCTCCGCCTTCGCCATCGCCAACCAGCCCGGCGCGTCGCAGCTCGCTTCGATCCCCGGCAACCCGGACGAGCGCGTCCTCGTCGTCGTCCAGCTGGGAGGCGGCAACGACGGACTCAACACCCTCGTCCCCTTCGCCGACGACGCCTACTACCGCGCCCGCCCCCGCATCGGCATCCCGAAGAACGACGTCCTCAAGCTCGACGCCCGCGCCCTCGTCGGCCTCCACCCCAACCTCCGAGGCCTGCACGAGATCTACGACGAGGGACTCCTGGGCGTCGTCCAGGGCGTCGGCTACCCCAACCCGAACCGCTCGCACTTCACCTCGATGGACATCTGGCACACCGCCAAAACCACCGGCGTCGGCGACGGCTGGCTCGGACGCTACTTCGACAACGAATGCTCCGGGACGCCCGGGAACGCGCGAGCCAATCCCGGCGGTTGCGCGCAGGAAATGGCCGTCTCCATCGGCGAAGAAACCCCCCTCGCCCTCACCGGCTCGACCTACGCCCCCGTCAACTTCGATAACGAGGACCTCTTCAAGTGGTCCGGCGCCAACGACGACGCCATGCGCGACGCCTACATGCGCATCGTGCAGGACGACGACGAGCACGAGCACGACAACCCCACCGCCGAGTTCCTCACCCGCACCGCCATGGACGCGCAGGTCGTCTCCAGGAAAATGCGCGACGCCGTGGGAACGACGCCCCTCGTCCAGTACCCCCGCTCCGACCTCGCCCGCCAGCTCGCCATGGTCGCCTCCATGATCCGCGCGAACATGGCCACCCGCGTCTACTACGTCACCATGGGCGGCTTCGACACCCACGCCGGGCAGGGCGGTGCCCAGGGACGCCACGCCAACCTCCTCCAGCAGTTCGGCGACGCCATGAACGCCTTCCGCAAGGACCTCCAGGCCCAGGGCAACGAGGGACGCGTCCTCACCATGTGCTTCTCAGAGTTCGGCCGGCGCGTCGGCCAGAACGCCTCCAACGGCACCGACCACGGAACCGCCGCCCCGATGTTCCTCATGGGCCCCATGGTCCGCCCCGGTCTCCAGGGCAAGCACCCCTCCCTGACCAACCTCGACGACGGCGACCTCAAGCACACCCTCGATTTCCGCTCCGTCTACGCCACCGTCCTGAACCGCTGGATGAAATCCGACGACCGAGCCGTCCTGGGCCAGAAGTTCACCGAAGCCCGAGTCCTGAACAGGGTCTGACCGCGCAACCCCATTGCCCATTGGCCATTCCCCATTGGCCACCTAAAAAAAGCGCCCGCCGCACACGAAGGTGCAGACGGGCGTGGGGTCGCGGTCGATTCGCAACGGGAATCCCGCCGCGTTCTACAGGGGAGAACCAAGACGGACGTTGCCGCATTCCATCAATCCGCCAAAATATTGGACGCAAAAAACCGGCCTGTCGGGCTAAAAACCGAATTGTCTATTCGGAGAACCCCAGCACCCGCAGGATCGGGTAGTTCGTCCCCTCCCTCGGATCCGCATCGATGACACCCCAAAGCGACAAGCCGTCGTCTGATTCCGGCTCGAGCAGGTACACGACAAGGTTCCCCAGAGGCTGATCCGTCGGCACGTACGTCCACCCCTCGCCCACCCCGATCCACTCCCCGCGCTTGGAGACATCGAGCGTCACCGCCCGCACCCCCTGGTACTCGCGCCCCGCGACCTCGACCGAGTCGATCGCGTACCGCTCGATCGTCGCGCCCACCCGGCGCGTGAGCGGCCGCACCCGCACCCCGTGCTCGCGCAGCTTCTCGACGACGTGCCCGTGCGACTCGGGGATCAGGTACCCCTCCGGGCGCGTCACCGTCCTCGTCGGCACAAACGTCCCCCAGTGCTCGACCTCGTACTCCACTTCGGTCTCCGTCGCGATCGGGCGCACGCCCCACCGGTCCGGGTCCGGCTTGGCGAGCTCGTAGCTCTTGATCGTGACCGGCGCGCCGAACGGCGCGATCTCGTACGCGATGCCCACCTCGACGCTCGAAGGCGACGACGCTTCCCGATCCGCACGCGCGCACATCTGAGCGATCCGCTCCGCGTCCTCGCTCGCCCGCTCCACGCACTCGCGCAGGAACGCCCCCGTCGAGCGCACCCGGTCCTCGAACGTCGCGTACGCGTACGCCTCGGACAGGATCGCGATCCGGTGGCGCAGCCCGACGTAATTCGCCCCGTACCGCGGCATGTGCGAGTACGTCCCCCACCTGGTCAGCTCGCGGTCGAAGTTCCCGTAGAAGAACGAGAGGTACCCCGTCTCCGCCTCCATACGGCGAGAGACGTCGGGCAGGAACTCGTCGCGCGTGTACTCGAGAAGCGCCGTATCCCCGCTCGGGTTCATCGCGCCGTCGTACGTGAGCGTGTACCGGTGGTACGACCCGTTCGTCGTGTGCGAATCGAAGACGACGTGCGGGTCCCATTCGTTGAAGAAGCCGATCATCGATTTCGCCTCGGCAGACGCCAGCTTCACGAAATCCCGGTTCAGGTCCAGCCCGTTGACATTCGCCCGCTCCCCCATCCCGAGTTCCGGCCCGTTCTGCCCGCGCCGGTTCTCCGCGTCCACACGCTCGTTCCCGTCCGCGTTGTAGAGCGGGGCGATGAGCAGGACGCACGTGTCCAGCACGTCCCGGTGCGACGACGGATCGTTCAGGAGGTCCCGCGCGTACATCAGCAGCGCCTCCTTCCCGCAGCACTCCCCCGAATGGATCCCCCCGAACGCGAAGAACCGCACCTTCCCCGATTCCAGCGCCTCGTCGGCGTTGCGCACCGGCGGGTCCGCGATCACGAGCACGGGCAGATCCCGCCCCTCCTCCGTCGCCCCCATGCTCACCCGGTGCGCGAGCTGTGATTCCGCAAGCTCGTCCACGAACGCCACCACCTCGTCGTACAGCATCGTCGCGCGGAACTCGGACGCCTCCGCCCGCGTCAGCCGGTCGCACCGGAACGAGGACGACGACACCGCCGTTTGTGCGCGCCGCTCAGCCCCGACCCGCGCCGCGTCCTCCGACGCGCACCCGAACAAGCCCGCGCACACCGCCGCCATCGCCATCCAGCGCATCATCGCCCTCGCTTCTTCTTCCGCGTCATCGCCTTCTTCGAGGTCTTCTTCCGGGTCTCCGCCCGCCTCGTGTCCGGGCCGCCCTCTTCCTTCTTCATGATGAAGAGGTAGTTGAACCCGCGCAAAAAGTAGTTCCCCTCCCGCGCCGCCTTGTGCCAGTTCCCCCTAGTCAGTTTCGCGTTCTGGCGCACCACGGAGATGATGTCCACCGGCTTGAACCGCTCCCGCATCAGCGCGAACAGCTCGAACCCGATCGGCATGAACGGCTTGCCCTTCTTGAACGAGTCGCTCACGTACAGCGCCATGTACCGCCGGTCCCGCAGCACCCGGTGCGCCTCGGAGATCACCTGCGCCATCGCCTCGTAGTACGCCGCCCCGCCGTCGGTCCCACCGGAATCGAGCTTCCCGATGCACCGCGGGTCGTCCGAATACTCGATGTGCGTCGAATACGGCGGGTCCACGAAGAAGAAGTCCACGCTCTCGTCCGCGACCGGCAGCGCCCGCGCATCCGCGAGCGTGATCGCCTCGCGCTGCGGCTGCAGGTCGAACCCCTTGCCGTTCCGCTTCAGGTCGTAGCACACATCAAGCGTCGTCCCGCTCCCGCACATCGGGTCCAGAACCGTGTCCCCCTCGCGCGTGTACCGCGTCAGCAGCTGCCAGATCACCCAGCTCGGCGTCGCCCCCGCGTACCCCTTGTCCCCCTGCATGCCCTTCCCGTAGTGCTGGCTCGGGTACTCCCACAGCGTCGTCGTCATCACGCGGAGCGGCGGACGCTTGTACACCTTCTTCTTGCGCGCCGGCGGCTTCTGCTTGCTCATGACGGCTCGATCCCCAGCGCCCCGAGCACCGCCGCGCGAGCCACGTCCATCGGCACGTCCAGCGTCGCCCCGGCCGCGTGCTTGTGCCCGCCCCCGCCGAGCGACTGCGCCGCCTGGTTCACGTCCACCTCGCCCTCGCCCGCCTTGGAGCGGAAGCTCACCTTCACCCGCCCGCCCCGCTCCGTGAGCAGCACGCTCACGCGCACCGCGCCGATCGATTTCGGCACGTCGATCAGCCCGCCCGAATCGTCCTGGCTCGCCCCCGTCTCCTCGAAGTCCTTCGCCAGCAGCGCCATCACCGCCACGCGGTCCCCGTCGTGGAACGTCAGCGAGTCCAGCGCCCGACGCATGAGAAGCAGCCGGCTCGCCGGATCGTTCTGCTCCGTCGTGCGGAACAGGTGGTCGTGGTCCGCCCCCGCCTCGAGCAGGTCGGCGCACAGCCGCAGGCAGCGCGGGCTCACGTTCGGATGCTTGAACCACCCCGTGTCCGTCGCGCACCCCAGGAACAGCGGCTCCGCGATCTCCCGCGGGAGCGACCGAGCGTTCGTCTCGAGCAGGTCGCACACCAGCATCGACGCCAGCACCGCCGCCGCGGCCGCCGTCGTGTCGATGTGGCGCGTCGACGCCAGCGCCGCGTCCCCGTGCGCGTGGTGGTCGACAATGACGGTCCTTTGCGCACGCTCCTCGACATACGCGCACGCCGCGTCGAGCTGCGACCGCGCCCCCGTGTCCAATACCACGATCACGTCCGGCTCGCCGAAGGGCGGCTGAGCGAACGTCGCCCCGTTCGCGTGCAGGACGCTCGTCTCGCCCAGCACCCCGTCGTACCGGCTCGGCCACGGGCCGACGTACGCGATGGTGACCGCCTTGCCCATCGAGCCCAGCGCCCGCCCCAGCGCCAGCGTCGAGCCGATCGCGTCGCCGTCCGGCTTCACGTGCGTCAGGATGAGGACCGAACCCGCCCCGCGCAGGACGCCCGCGATCTCTCCGATCGTCGCGTTCGTCTCCCACACACTCGCCTCGCCCGTCGTCGCGCTCACGCGATGCTCTCTTTCATATCTCGCGACAGCGCCTCCCGGGAGCGCGCCACGTCGCGGTGGATCTGTTCGATCAAACCGTCCACCCCGCTGAACCGCATCTGGTCGCGCAGAAACGCGATCACGTCCAGGTGCAAGTCCCACCCGTACTCCTCGCCCCCCTCCGACACCGGCCCGCCCCAATCGAGAATGTGCGCCTCCACCGTCCGGCGCGTGTCGTCGAAGACCGGCCGCTCCCCCACGTGCAGCGCCACGTCGAACGCCCGCCCGTCCGCGAGCGTCGCGCGGGCCGCGTAGACGCCGTCCGCGGGCAGCGCGTTCGGGGTGTTCAGGTTCGCCGTCGGGAAGCCGATCTGCCGACCACGCCGGTCGCCCATCTCCACGACCCCGCTCATCCGGTAGGGCCGCCCGAGCACCCGCGCCGCGTCCGCGACGCGCCCGCGCTCCACGAGCCACCGCGTGAGCGTGCTGCTCGCGCGCACCTCGTGCTGGTCCGAGAGCGAGACGATCTGCTCGTCCACGATCGTCACCCCGAACCCGTGCCCCTCTCCCAGCCGGCGCAGCACGTGCTCGTCCCCCGCCCGGCCCTTCCCGAACCGGAAATCGTGCCCCTCCACAAGCCACGTCGGCGAATGCTCGCGCACCACCCGCTCGACGAACGCCTCGGGCGTCATCGAGAGCAGCTCGGGTGTCGGCGAGAGCCGCACCACCTCGTCCGCACCCATCGACAGGATCAGCTCGCGCCGCTGCTCGAACGTCGTCAGCACCGCCGGCCCCGGCTCACCGGGCCGGAGCACCGTCCGCGGGTGCGCGTCGAAGACCACCGCCGTCACCCGCCCGGTATCGCCCGCCGCCCCCCGAGCGGCCGACAGCAGACGCCCGTGCCCCACGTGCACGCCGTCGAAGTTCCCGATCGTCACAACCCGAGCCGATTCGCCCATACCGCAACGGTATGCGAACCGGACCGCCCACGCACGCCCTTCGGGCGTACCCTGTCCGCATGACGGAACCGGGTCCATCGCAAGACAGCCGAGCAGCGGGGGGGCTCCTCATCGCCTGCGCCGTGCGCAAGGAAGCCGAGGCCGTCGCGCAGGGGCTCAGCTCCCAAGACGACCTCTCACCCGACCTCTGGGCGCCCATCCCCATCCGTGATGGGATCCACATCCTCATCACCGGCGTCGGCAAGGCGAACGCCGCGGGAGCCGTCTCGCACACGCTCGCGTCGCACCGGTATGCCGCCGTTCTCTGCGCCGGCGTCGCCGGCGCGCTGCCGGGCTCGGGCCTCGACGTCGGCGACACCGTCCGCGCCACCGCCTGCGCCTTCGCCGACGAGGGCATCGAGACGCCGAGCGGCTTCACCACCATCGCGGACCTCGGCTTCCCCACGACCCAGGGCCTCCCCGGCGCGAGCGGCGACGCCCTCGCCACTACCCTCGCCATCCCCGGCGCCGTCGCGTCCCGCGTCACCGCCGAAGGCCCCGTCGCCACCGTCTCCGCCGGCAGCGCGACCGACGCCCGCGCCGAGGCCGTCGCCGCCCGCACCGTCGCCCTCGCCGAGGCCATGGAAGGCGCCGCCATCGCCCTCGCCTGCGCGCGACTGAACACCCCCTTCGCCGAGATCCGCGCGATCTCCAACCGCACCGGCGACCGCGACACGCAGGGCTGGGACCTGCCCAAAGCCCTGCAGGCCCTGCGGGACCTTTTCTCGCGCTGGCCCTGAGCAAAATCCCACCGATTCACTTCCACATATCCGGACCCCCGCCCACCACGCCATCCGGGTGCGCCGCGCCGAGTCCTGACGGTCGTGCCGACTGGGAAACACCCGCCACGGGTCGGGGCGCGACCCCCGCTGAATCCCGCTCCGCATCGGACGGATGAATGAACGGGGCCGCCCCGCGCGCCCCCTTCGCCCCATCCACAGTCGGAGCGCGACCGTTGAGCGGATTCGGACTCAAAAAGCCCAAGGCCTCGCCCATCGCCATCGACTTCGGCGCCAGCGCCCTCAAGGCCATGCAGGTCGTCCCGGGGCACGCCGCGAAGCTCATCGACGCCGCCGTCCTCGAGACGCCCCCCGAGCTCGTCGCCGACCCCGTCGCGCGCCTCGCCTTCCAGTTCGAGCACATCCCGGACCTGCTCAAGGGACGCAAGTTCATCGGACGGCGCGCCTCCTGCTCCGTCGCCTCCGCCCACACCCTCGCCCAGCACGTCCAGACCCCCGCCGACGACGCCGGCGGCGCCGCCGTCATCGACGCCGTCGCACGATCCCTCAACTGCACGCCCGCGCAGCTCGTCGCGCGGACGCTCGACGTCACCACCATCGTCCGCGGCAGCCAGAAACGGCGCGAGTCCGTCTGCCTCGCCATGCCCCGCGCCGCCGTGGAACGCTACATGCAGGCGCTCGAGAGCGCGAAGCTCCGCCCCGTCGGCATCCACGCCGAGCACATCGCCACCGTCCACGCCTTCGACCGCATCAACAAGCGCGAGTCCGACAAGGACGTCACCCACCTCTACCTCGACCTCGGCGCGACGACCACGAAGATCATCGTCGCGCACGGCAAGTCCCTCGTGCTCGCCAAGACGCTCGAGCTCTCCGTGCGGCCCGCCATGACCGCCGCCCCGGCCCGCGCCCCGCTCGGCGTGACCGAGGCCGTGCTCGTCGACGGCGACGACCCCGAGTCCACCGGCGAGTTCGGCATGGGCCTCGCCAGCGCGTCCGAGGAGCGCCGCGACAACGCCACGCCCCCGGGCATCACCGAGCTCGCGACCGACCACCGCGCCGCCGGCGGCCACCACGACCGCGTCCTGGACGAGCTCATCGACGAGCTCCGCGCCTCCGTCCGCTACCACACGGCCCTCTTCCCCGGGCGCGACATCGACCACCTCATCTTCCTGGGCGGATGCGCGACCGACGTGTCCATCTGCCAGCGCCTCGCCCAGGCGCTCCGCCTCCCCGCCCAGCTCGCCGACCCACTCGCCGCCATCGAGCGCGACCCCGGCGCCCACCTGCCCATCGACGGCTCGACCCCCCAACCCGGCTGGGCGCTCGCCTTCGGGCTCACCCAGGCGCCGACCGAGGACTAAGGAGAACGAGAGACCATGGCGATGTTCAACCGAACAAAGCAATCCGGACACACCGCCGGGCCCATCGGCCCGGGCGACGGCGACGCCAACGCCGGGTTCCTCCCGCAGGAATTCGTCGAGCAGCGCCGCGTCCGGCGCTCCACGGCCTTCGGCCTCGCCCTGTTCATGGTCGTCCTGCTCTTCGTCGCCGGCGCCTTCCTCGTCACCAACCGCGAGTGGAACGACGTCCGCGAGTACGGGCGCGCCGTCGATATCCGCTACCAGCAGGCCGCGGAAAACCTCGAGCAGCTCAACGAGCTCGAGGCCCACGCCGACACCCTCACGCGCAAGGCCGAGGTCGTCCTCGCCCTCGTCGAGCGCGTCCCCCGCTCGCTCCTCATCGCCGAGATCACCAGCGCCATGCCCGCGCAGATGACCCTCACCGAGTTCGAGCTCTCCTCCGTCAAGGTCAAGCCCCCCGCGCCCGAAGAGGACGAGAAGAAGAAAAAGGGCAAGTCCTCCAACCGCAAGTCGCGCACCAGCGACGAGGGCCCCGAGCAGGCCGACGAGGTCTACGTCCCGAGGTTCAAGTCCAGCGTCGTCCTCATGGGCGTCGCCCCAACCCACCAGGACATCGCGCGGTACGTCTCGGCCCTCCAGAACTCCGAGCTCCTGCTCGGCGTCGAGCTGAAGGTCTCCGAGTCCACCACCATCAAGGACCGCACCATGATCAAGTTCCGCATCGAGGGCATGATCGACGCCGCCGCCGACCCGCGCCAGCGCGCCGCCCGCGCCGAGCAGCGCGTCGCCTCCGTCGACGAGCTCGTGGAGGGGGACAACCGATGAACACCGCCATCGCCCGGCAAGCCGCCTTCCTCGCGCTCGTCATCGCGGTCCCCGTGACGTCCTACTTCACGGTCTTCCGCCCCCAGAACGAGCGCATCGCAGAGGTGCGCCGCGACATCAAAGAGAAGGAGCTCATGCTTGAGAAGCTCGAGCTCGTTACCGCCCGCGCCAGCGACCTCGCCACCGCCAACCAGGAGATCGAGGCCGCCGTCATCGAGATCGAGAACCGCCTCCCCGGCACCAAAGAAGTCGACGTCCTCCTCGAGCAGGTCGCCGACCTCGCCCTCGGCTCACGCCTCCGCCTCGAGAAGGTCAAGGCCGGCGCCCAGGCCCCCAGCGCCAAGTACCGCGAGCAGCCCCTCGAGATGAAGGTCGAGGGCGATTTCGAGTCCTTCTACACCTTCCTCGTCGAGCTCGAGAAGCTCGACCGACTCACACGCATGCCCGACATCACCATCAAACGCATCGACAAGGAAGACGGCGCCCTCGAAGCCACCTTCACACTCAGCATCTACTTCCAGCCCGAAACCAAGCCCGCGACGAAGGAGGTCGATGCCTGATGTCCAGCTTCCTCGAAGACCTCAACTCGCTCGACGACGACAACCCCCAGGGCCCCATCTCCGCCAAGCCCGCCTCGGGCGACTCGCCCTTCCTCATCGGGCTCCAGGAGTCCGACGGACTCGGCGCGACCGCCAACCCGAAGAAGACCGGGCTCGTCGGCCTCGCCATCGCCGTCGTCCTCGGCGGCGGCGGCCTCTACGCCATGCGCACCGTCGGACTCGCCGCAAACGTCGCACTCGCCGACACCGAGATCGACTACTCCGCCCAGTCCGCCGCGGCCGCCATCGACCACACACGCCTCATCGACGACCTCCACGGCGCCGACAGCGTCGTGCAGATCCCGCTCAAGGACCTGCCCATCAACCCCTTCGCCTGGAACGCGGTCCAGCCCGTGCAGGAAGAGCCCGAGATCACGTTCGAGGTCCCCAAAGAGGACCCCTCCGAGCGACTCCGACGCGAGCGCGCCGCGAACATCGAGACCGCCTTCGGCCGACTCAAGCTCAACTCCATCCTGAGCGGGCCCACGCCCGTCGTGCGCATCTCCGGCGAGTTCTACCGCATGGGCGAGACCGTCGAAGAGTACTTCACCGTCACGAAGGTCGAGGGCCGCTCCGTCACCCTCACCGCGGACGGCCGCGACTACACCCTCACCATCGGGCAGTGACCCGTCGAACCCCCTCCGAAAGGCGACACGAACAAGATGGGACGCAGACCGAAGATCGACGATCTTCTGAAGAAGCTCTCCGACGAGGAGACGCCGGCGCCCCCCGTGCGCGACATCCCCGCCGCCCCCCC